ATCCTGCAGTGCCCGCACGGTCCCTCTGCTCAAGAAAGCCCATGTCCAGCCCGTCTGAAGTCTGCCACTGAACATCTGAATGATGCCGAGGAGGACTGGTGGGAAGTGTTGTGGTCAGAGGAGACCAAAATCCAGCTCTTTGGCATCAACTCAACTCGCCGTGTTTGGAGGAGGAGGAATGCTGCCTATGACCCCAAGAACACCATCCCAACTGTGAAACATGGTGGTGGAAACATTCTGCTTTGGGGGGGGGGTTCTGCTAAGGGGACAGGACAACTGCCCCACTAGTGGGAAGAGTTAATAAATGTAACCAATGAAGAGCAGAGGGAAGACCATGAAGTGTCCTGCAGCTCCTTCACGGTACAATCAGCAGGCAGCTTGTGTTCTTAGCCAAGCCATGATGCCACTGAGGGGAGGCTGGTGGCCATTGTCACAAGAAATACAGCGATCCAAAAATGTTTGCGATGTCCCCAGAAGGAGAGGTGAGGGGAAATCGTCTAATGGGGACACCTGTTTCTGGGACAATGGTTGCAGGGCTTGTTTAGGGTGGGGGGTGGTAAATGCAGGGGGTTTAGCTGCGGTGCCACCTGCCCACCCAAACAAAGATATGCGGAGCTTTACACATGCCATGGCTGTGATGTCTTGCTTTGCAGCTGCAGGAAAGATGAAACCCCCCAGCTGCCCGCCAGACACGACCCATACAGATGAATGAGGCAGCACCACCACTGTGAGCAATGCATGGGGTTCTGCTGTAGTGGGCGCCCATTTTCAGGGCTACAAACATATTGCTTCCTCTCCTCTTGTCAAACACCCTCTGAAAAACAATCCACCACTTTTCTAACTTTGGATGATTTCCTCTAACTTCCTGTTGTGTCTCTGGGACAGGAAGTGAATGGAAATTTCCCCAAATGGGACACAGTCAGCCTCTGAGGATGTCCATTGGTGACGAAGCACATAGGGAGGCATCAGAGACTGACATCATTACGTCATCATCAAGGGCTTCCTCTCACTTTGGGAGATTTCCTCAAACTTTCAATTGTGTCTCTGGGATAAGAAGTGAATAGAATTTCCCCAATTGGGACACAGCCAGCCCCTGAGGATGTCCATTGGTGATGAAGCATGTAAGGAGCATCAGATGTTGACATCATCATCAGCATGGGATTCCTCTCACTTTGGGAGATTTCCTCTAACTTCCTGTTGTGTCTCTGGGACAGGAAATGAAAAAAAAATGTCCCCATTTGGGACACAGCCAGTCCCTGAGGAAGCCCATTGGTGTGGAAAAGAATAGGGAGGATTCAGACGCTGATGTCATTACATCATCTGCATGGGTTTCTCCTCACTTATGAAGATTTCCTCTAAGTCCTGTTGTGTCTCTGGGATATTAAGTGAACAGAAATTTCCCCAATTGGGACACATCCAGCCCCTGAGGATGTCCATTGGTGACGAAACACATAGGGAGGCATCAGACACTGACATCATTACATCATCATCAGCAAGGGCTTCCTCACACTTTGGGAGATTTCCTCTAACTTCCTGCTGTGTCTCCTAGACAGGAAATGAATGGAAATTTCCCCAATTGGGACACAGCCATCCCCTGAGGATGTCCATTGGTGAGGAAAAGAATAGGGAGGATTCAGACGCTGATGTCATTACATCATCCACATGGGTTTCCTCTAACTTATGAAGATTTCCTCCAAGTCCTGTTGTGTCTCTGGGATAGGAAGTGAACAGAAATTTCCCCAATTGGGACACATCCAGCCCCTGAGGATGTCCATTGGTGACGAAACACATAGGGAGGCATCAGACACTGACATCATTACATCATCATCAGCAAGGGCTTCCTCACACACTTTGTGAGATTTGCTCTAACTTCCTGCTGTGTCTCCTGGACAGGAAACGAATGGAAATTTTCCCAATTGGGACACAGCCAGCCCCTGAGGATGTCCATTGGTGAGGAAAAGAATAGGGAGGATTCAGACGCTGATGTCATTACATCATCCGCATGGGTTTCTCCTCACTTATGAAGATTTTCTCTAAGTCCTGTTGTGTCTCTGGGATAGGAAGTGAACAGAAATTTCCCCAATTGGGACACATCCAGCCCCTGAGGATGTCCATTGGTGACGAAACGCGTAGAGTGGGATCAGACGCTGTTGCCATTACACAATCATTCGTATTTCCAGCCTTCTATGATTTTTAATCTTGTTCTTATTTTGAGAACTCTTTTTGGGGAGATCGGCACAATTTGGGGTGTTTTTGGATCCACTGGTGGATCGGTGCTCGGTTTGCAGATTGCTCCTGTATCTCGTATCCCGATTGGGGATTGTACCATACACAAGCTCCTATTGCCCTCTAAATGCTGGGGTTCCATTTTTGGTGCTGGTGATTGCTGACGATGGCTGCAGGAGTCTCACTCAAGCTGCTGCAATTTGCACACTTTTTCGGGTTTTCTGTCGTCCAATCATCTCCGTTCATGTACTTCTGACAATATCTGGTGATGAAAGATCCCCCCCCCCCCCCCCCATCGGACTGAATTCATGACATCCGGCAATGGCCTCCTGCGGCCGGCGGTCGGAATGCGCCGCTGAAACGTGCTTTTTGGCAAAGCGCGGCGGGGCGCTGTTGTTGCAGAGACCTCGTTAGATAATGAGTTGGCAGCGACTTGTGAAATGTTTACTGTGTTCTTTACAATGAAAAGGACATTTCTGTGGCGGGAGGAGCGCGGCGTTTTATCTCCGCAAACAAGACGATCCAGAAATTATCTTCGTGCGGAGAATGGATTTGCAGCGTGAACTGACACAACCTCGGCGCTGAGGACACGGCATCCGATCACCTTGGTGATGGTGTGATGGATAATCACACGGCCAAATCTGTGTTCCGCCATGACCCACCGCCCCGCCATGTGTCCGATAAACCCCGGAGGAGATTTAATCTCACAATCTGAAGCTTTCATTCAAATGAACACTTCCTGGTAGAGAGTGACCACCCTCTGACCCCAACCCCCAATTCTTCTCCGGTGTTGTCACCCTGACGCATGGACTTCCGATGGAGGCTACAAGCAGCCATTGCGGCACACATGAAGTAGGCGTGGTCCGCCGTTGTCACCATCGGGAGATGGAAGGCAGCCATTGCTGGAGGGCGACTGGAGAGGAAGTGGCTGCAAAGAGGCAGCAGGACTGAGATGGAACAAAAGATGAAAGAATAAGAATTTGCTCCAATCTGCGGTACCTCAGTAAGGTCAATGCCACTCATTGGCTGCGAACATTTAACCCCTTCAAGACTGACACATACAGCTGTGCTCAGAAGTCTCCCTCCTCTGGCAGAAATGGTGAAATTGCGGCATTGATGGTGAAAATCTGATCCTGCCAAAAAGGATAGCGATGATATGACGCCATTTATTATCACATCGCTGTTCAGCTCCTTTATAACTCCTAATGAAGTCTCCACCCTGGATCAGAAGTCTCCGCCCCCAGATCAGAAGTCTCCGCCCCCGGATCAGAAGTCTCCACCCCCAATCAGAAGTCTCAACCCCCAGATAAGAAGTCTCCACCCCCAATCAGAAGTCTCCACCCCCGGATCAGAAGTCTCAACCCCCAGGTCAGAAGTCTCCACCCCCCAATCAGAAGTCTCCACCCCCGGATCAGAAGTCTCCACTCTCGGGTCAGAAGTCTCCACCCCCAGATCAGAAGTCTCCACTCTCGGGTCAGAAGTCTCCATCCCCGAAACAGAAGTCTCCACCTCCGAATCAGAAGTCTCCGCCCCCAAATCAGAAGTCTCTGCCCCAGATCAGAAGTCTCTGCCCCAGATTAGAAGTCTCCGCCCAGGATCAGAAGTCTCCGCCCAGGATCAGAAGCCTCCATCCCTGGATCAGAAGTCTCCGCCCCCGGATCAGAAGTCTCCACTCCCGGATCAGAAGTCTCCGCCCCCGGATCAGAAGTCTCCTCCCCCGGATCAGAAGTCTCAGCCCCTGGATCAGAAGTCTCTGCCCCATATCAGAAGTCTATGCTCCAGATCAGAAGTCTCCACCCCCATATCAGAAGTCTATGCTCCAGATCAGAAATCTCCACCCCCAGATCAGAAGTCTCCACCCACGGATCAGAAGTCTCTGCCCCTGGATCAGAAGTCTCCACCCACAGATCAGAAGTCTCCACCCTGGATCAGAAGCCTCCATCCCTGGATCAGAAGTCTCCGCCCTGGATTAGAAATCTCCACCCCCAGATCAGAAGTCTCCGCCCCGGATAAGAAGTCTCCTCCCCTGGATCAGAAATCTCTGCCCCATATCAGAAGTCTCCGCCCCCAGATCAGAAGTCTCCGCCCCCAGATCAGACGTCTCCGCCCCCGGATCAGAAGTCTCAGCTCCCAGATCAGAAGTCTCCATCCCTGGCTCAGAAATCACCACCCCCAGATCAGAAGTCTCCGCCCCGGATAAGAAGTCTCCTCCCCTGGATCAGAAATCTCTGCCCCATATCAGAAGTCTCCGCCCCCAGATCAGAAGTATCCGCCCCCAGATCAGACGTCTCCACCCCCGGATCAGAAGTCTCAGCTCCCAGATCAGAAGTCTCCATCCCTGGCTCAGAAATCACCACCCCCGGATCAGAAGTCTCCACCCCAGATCAGAAGGCTCCACCCCCTGGAATGTTCGGCCTTGGTACAGACACACAAGGGGTCACACACGGGGGACAATGTCAATTAAAGGTTAATTTCCCACATCTGCGGTTTCTTACATTACAATCAGTGTCAGTGTATAAATAGTCAATGTGTGTGTTTGCTGTCACATGGATGCACTGAGCAGGCTAGATACTGAGCCATGGGGAGCAGAAAAGAACTGTCAAAAAGACCTGTGTAACAAGGTAATGGAACTTTATAAAGATGGAAAAGGATATAAAAAGATATCCAAAGCCTTGAGTATACCAGTCAGTGATGTCCAATCATGTAGAAGAAGAGGAAAATTCGGTCAGCATGCGCTGACCGCGCCCTGTCATGTGACGTGGCCTACCACTTGGTGGCTGAGTGGCTGTTGTTCCCAGTGGCTTCCACTTTGTTATAATCCCACTAACAGTTGAGCATGGAATATTTAGTAGCCAGGAAATGTCACGGATGGACTTATTGCCCAGGTGGCCACCTATCACGGGACCACGCTTGGAGTCACTGAGCTCCTGAGAGCGACCCATTCTTTCACCAATGTTTGTAGAAGCCGTCTGCATGCCTAGGGGCTTGATTGTATACACCTGTGTCCATGGAGGTGATTGGAACACCTGAATCACATGATATGGAGGAGATTGGAACACCTGAATCACATGATATGGAGGGGATTGGAACACCTGAATCACATGATTGGGAGGGGATGGGAACACCTGCATCACATGATTGGGAGGGGATTAGAACACCTGAATCACATGATATGGAGGGGATTGGAACACCTGAATCACATGATATGGAAGGGATTGGAACACCTGAATCACATGATATGGAGGGGATTGGGACACCTGAATCACATGATATGGAGGGGATTGGAACACCTGAATCACATGATTGGGAGGGGATGGGAACACCTGAATCACATGATTGGGAGGGGATGGGAACACCTGAATCACATGATTGGGAGGGGATTAGAACACCTGAATCACATGATATGGAGGGGATTGGAACACCTGAATCACATGATATGGAAGGGATTGGAACACCTGAATCACCTGATATGGAGGGGATTGGGACACCTGAATCACATGATATGGAGGGGATTGGAACACCTGAATCACATGATTGGGAGGGGATGGGAACACCTGAATCACATGATTGGGAGGGGATGGGAACACCTGAATCACATGATTGGGAGGGGATTGGAACACCTGAATCACATGATATGGAGGGGATTGGAACACCTGAATCACATGATATGGAGGAGATTGGAACACCTGAATCACATGATTGGGAGGGGATTGGAACACCTGAATCACATGATATGGAGGGGATTGGAACACCTGAATCACATGATTGGGAGGGGATTGGAACACCTGAATCACATGATATGGAGGGGATTGGAACACCTGAATCACATGATATGGAGGGGATTGGAACAACTGAATCACATGATATGGAGGGGATTGGAACACCTGAATCACATGATATGGAGGGGATTGGAACACCTGAATACTACTACCCCATATACTACGGACCCTATATACACCCCCCGTATACTCCAGACCCTATATACACCCCCCATATGCTCCGGACCCTATATACACCCCCCTATACTCCGGACCATATATACCCCCCGTATACTCCAGACCCTATAGACACCCCCCTGTATACTCCAGACCCTATATACACCCCCCTGTATACTCCAGACCCTATAGACACCCCCCTATACTCCAGACCCTATATACACCCCATATACTCCAGACCCTATATACACCCCCCGTATACTCTGGACCCTATATACACCCCATATACTCCAGACCCTATATGCACCCCCCGTATACTCCAGACCCTATATACATCCCCCTTGTATACTCTGGACCCTATACACAACCCCCCGTATACTCCGGACCCTATATACACCCCCCTGTATACTCTGGACCCTATACACCCCCCGTATACTCCGGACCCTATATACACCCCCCCGTATACTCCGGACCCTATATACACCCCCTGTATACTCTGGACCCTATACACCCCCCTATACTCCAGACCCTATATACACCCCCCCGTATACTCCAGACCCTATATACATCCCCCTGTATACTTCAGAGACTGAGGAAATGCCCCCTCCTCCTTCCACAAAGTCACAATGTACAGTCTGATCACCGGGGGAGGGGAGACTGAGGCAATGCCGCCTCCTCCTTCTACAAAGTTACAATGTACGGTCTGATCACCGGGGGAGGGGAGACTGAGGAAATGCTTCATTCTGCCTGCAGCAGACTGATGACATCATCTCAGCCTAGGCAGAGTCACTGTCCTGCAGCTCAGGGGGGGCTGTGTTTTGTGGCATGCTGGGAGTGTGGGGTTCTCTCTGGTCCCCTTTACAATACTACAGGAAGTAATGGCGGTGACATCAGAGGACGCGTCACTGTATAGGGTGACGTAACGCGCAGTAAAGTGCAGCTTTTTGCAGCTCTCCTCCCTCCGGGGGACCCTCCGTCTGCGCAGGGACGGCTGTACATCAGACGCAGGAGGGGGGAGGGGGGGGGGTCTCCGCTGTGAATGTTTCCAGTTTGTCTTGTTATTACGTCATGAATTGTTATATTTATGTATGTGACCCCCCCCACCCCCCCCCCTCCACCCCCCCCCCCCCCCCCCCCCCCCCCCCCCCCCCCCGGCTGCTCAGTCAGGAGCTGCCAACATTTCCCTGAAGCTGATGTGTGAGTCCCTCGTACTGCACAGCGTACATCCCAACTGCCACTGCCTGCACCTCCACGAACCTCACCACCCCCATCTAGTGGACGGAAAGGAATCTGCTGGGGGGGGGGCGCACTCCTCTCTCAGACGGCCTTGAGGCCTGTTGATGCGTCTCTGCGCCGCGCTTTGCTGATTTCCTGACACCAAGTGACCGATATTTCCAGAGAAAGCTGAGAACAGAGTCACTTAAAGGGGAGCTCCGTCCCGGCAGGCACTTCCACTGTATACCATCAGCATTGTCATCAGTATATATATGATCGGGGCTTTCCTTCTCAGAGAATAGGTGCAGGAGATCTTCTTGTCTCCGCCCCCTACCCACCTCTGAGCACCGTCCCTTGGTTACACCCACCTCCTACCTACCTCTGAGCACCGTCCCTTGGTTCCACCTCCTACCCACCTCTGAGCACCGTCCCTTGGTTCCACCCCCTACCCACCTCTGAGCACCGTCCCTTGGTTCCACCCCCTACCCACCTCTGAGCACCGTCCCTTGGTTCCACCCCCTACCCACCTCCAAGCACCGTCCCTTAATTGCACCCCCTACCCACCTCCGAGCACCGTCCCTTGATTGCACCCCCTACCCACCTCCGAGCACCATCCCTTGGTTCCACCCCTACCCACCTCCGAGCACCGTCCCTTGGTTCCACCCCTACCCACCTCCGAGCACCGTCCCTTGATTGCATCCCCTGCCCACCTCTGAGCACAATCCCTTAGTTCCACCTCCTACCCACCTCTGAGCACGATCCCTTGGTTGCACCCCCTACCCCCTTTGAGCACCATCCATTGGTTCCGCCCCTTACTTCCGAGCATTGTCCCTTGGTTGCACCCTCTACCCATTTCCAAGCGCCATCCCTTGGTTCCACCCCCACCCACCTCCGAGCATCTTCCTTTGGTTGCACACCTTACCCCCTTCGAGCACCGTCCCTTGGTTCCACCCCCTACCCACCCTTGAACACCATCCCTTGGTTCCACTCCCTACTCATTGATGGAGGTGGGGGGAAGGCTCATTGATGGGGGTGGGTGGGGGGTCACTGATGGAGGTGGGAAGGCTCATTGATGCAGGTGGGGGGGGGGGGGGGGGGGTCATTGATGGAGGTGGGGGGAAGGCTCATTGATGGGGGTGGGTGGGGGGCTCACTGATGGAGGTGGGGGGAAGGCTCATTGATGGAGGTGGGGAGGGAAGGCTCATTGATGGAGGTGGGGAGGGAAGGCTCATTGATGGAGGTTGGGGGGGGGGATTTACCCCAATAAATAAAAAAAGAAGACAAATAGACAGAACGATGCCTTCCCTTTAGCACTGTAATTTGTAATTCTCAGTATCGATCGTTTATCATGTTTGGTGGCAGAGTTTTGTACAGAAATGGATATGGCAGGGAAAGGCTCATTGATGGAGGTGGGGAGGGAAGGTTCATTGATGATGGTGGAGAGGGAAGGTTCATTGATGGAGGTGGAGAGGCCCCCTCCACCCCCCCCCCCCCCCCCCCCCACCCCCCCGAAGGCTCATTGATGCAGGTGGTGGGGGGGGGTCATTGATGGAGGTGAGGAGGGAAGGCTCATTGATGGAGGTGAGGAAGGAAGGCTCATTGGTGGAGGTGGGGAGGGAAGGTTCATTGATGGAGGTGGAGAGGGAAGGCTCATTGATGCAGGTGGTGGGGGGGGGGTCATTGATGGAGGTGAGGAGGGAAGGCTCATTGATGGAGGTGAGGAAGGAAGGCTCATTGGTGGAAGTGGAGGGAGAGAAGGCTCATTGATGGTGGTGGGGGGGGGGGGCTCATTGATGGAGGTGGAGAGGGAAGGCTCATTGATGCAGGCGGTGGGGGGGAGGCTCATTGATGGAGGTGGGGGGAAGGCTCATTGATGGGGGGGGTGGGTGGGGGCCTCACTGATGGAGGTGGGGGGAGGGCTCATTGATGGAGGTGGGGAGGGAAGGCTCATTGATGGAGGTGGTGGGGGGAGGCTCATTGATGGAGGTGGAGAGGGAAGGCTCATTGATGCAGGTGGTGGGGGGGGGCTCATTGATGGGGGTGGGTGGGGGGCTCACTGATGGAGGTGGGGGGAAGGCTCATTGATGGTGGTGGTGGGGGCTCATTGATGGAGGTGGCTGGAAGGCTCATTGATGGGGGTAGGTGGGGGGCTCACTGATGGAGGTGGGGGAAGGCTCATTGATGGTGGTGTGGGGGGGGGCTCATTGATGGAGGTGGATAGGGAAGGCTCATTGATGCAGGTTGTGGGGGGGAGGCTCATTGATGGAGGTGGGGGGAAGGCTCATTGATGGAGGTGGGGAGGGAAGGCTCATTGATGGAGGTTGGGGGGGGGATTTACCCCAATAAATAAAAAAAGAAGACATATAGACAGAACGATGCCTTCCCTTTAGCACTGTAATTTGTAATTCTCAGTATCGATCGTTTATCATGTTTGGTGGCAGAGTTTTGTACAGAAATGGATATGGCAGGGAAAGGCTCATTGATGGAGGTGGGGAGGGAAGGTTCATTGATGGAGGTGGAGAGGGAAGGCTCATTGATGCAGGTGGTGGGGGGGGGGGGGTCATTGATGGAGGTGAGGAGGGAAGGCTCATTGATGGAGGTGAGGAAGGAAGGCTCATTGGTGGAAGTGGAGGGAGAGAAGGCTCATTGATGGTGGTGGGGGGGGGGGCCTCATTGATGGAGGTGGAGAGGGAAGGCTCATTGATGCAGGCGGTGGGGGGAGGCTCATTGATGGAGGTGGGGGGAAGGCTCATTGATGGGGGTGGGTGGGGGCCTCACTGATGGAGGTGGGGGGAGGGCTCATTGATGGAGGTGGGGAGGGAAGGCTCATTGATGGAGGTGGTGGGGGGAGGCTCATTGATGGAGGTGGAGAGGGAAGGCTCATTGATGCAGGTGGTGGGGGGGGGGCTCATTGATGGGGGTGGGTGGGGGGCTCACTGATGGAGGTGGGGGGAAGGCTCATTGATGGTGGTGGGGGGGGGGGGGGCTCATTGATGGAGGTGGCTGGAAGGCTCATTGATGGGGGTAGGTGGGGGGCTCACTGATGGAGGTGGGGGAAGGCTCATTGATGGTGGGGGGGGGGGGCTCATTGATGGAGGTGGATAGGGAAGGCTCATTGATGCAGGTTGTGGGGGGGGAGGCTCATTGATGGAGGTGGGGAGGGAAGGCTCATTGATGCAGGTGGTGGGGGGAGGCTCATTGATGGAGGTGGGGGGAAGGCTCATTGATGGGGGTGGGTGGGGGGCTCACTGATGGAGGTGGGGGGAAGGCTTATTGATGGTGGTGGGGGGGCTCATTGATGGAGGTGGAGAGGGAAAGCTCATTGATGCAGGCGGTGGGGGGGAGGCTCATTGATGGAGGTGGGGGGAAGGCTCATTGATGGGGGTGGGTGCGGGGCTCACTGATGGAGGTGGGGGGAAGGCTCATTGATGGTGCTGGGGGGGGGGCTCATTGATGGAGGTGGAGAGGGAAAGCTTATTGATGCAGGTGGTGGGGGAGTCTCATTGATGGGGGGGTGGGTGGGGGGCTCACTGATGGAGGTGGGGGGAAGGCTCATTGATGGTGCTGGGTGGAAGGCTCATTGATGGAGGTGGAGAGGGAAGGCTCATTGATGCAGGTGGTGGGGGGGGCTCATTGATGGGGGGTGGGTGGGGGGCTCACTGATGGAGGTGGGGGGAAGGCTCATTGATGGTGGTGGGGGCTCATTGATGGAGGTGGAGAGGGAAGGCTCATTGATGCAGGTGGCGGGGGCTAGGCTCATTGATGGAGGTGGAGAGGGAAGGCTCATTGATGCAGGTTGTGGGGGGAGGCTCATTGATGGAGGTGGGGAGGGTAGGCTCATTGATGGAGGTGGGGAGGGAAGGCTCATTGATGCAGGTGGTGGGGGGGAGGCTCATTGATGGAGGTGAGGAAAGAAAGCTCATTGGTGGAAGTGGAGGGAGAGAAGGCTCATTGATGGTGGTGGGGGGGGACACATTGATGGGGGTGGGGAGGGAAGGCTCATTGATGTAGGTGGTGGGGGGAGGCTCATTGATGCAGGTGGTGGGGGGAGGCTCATTGATGGACGTTGGGGGGGGGGGGGATTTACCCCAGTAAATAAAAAAAAGAAGACATACAGACAGAGCGATGCCTTCCCTGTAACACTCTAGTTTGTAATTCTCGGTATCGATCGTTTCTCACGTTCGGTGGCAGAGTTTTGTACAGAAATGGATATGGCAGGGAAAGGCTCCATCCATTACGGGTCTGACAGGTTCCGGGTGAGGGCCCCGGGCCCCCATCCAGCGTCTGACAGTCAGAGACGTGTGTAAATGAAGTTTCTCTCGGACTTGTTGTTGCCGTTGCATAATGGTATTTCTGATTCCAACTTTTCTTGGCCAACCGCTGTCAGAGTTCCTGTAAGAAAACAGGAAAGTATTCTTTACTTGTTATTTCATTTATTTTTACAAAACCGTTTTCTGCCAGAAAGAACAGATCCCGTTATTCCATCTTTGTCTGTTACGGGATTAGAAGAGGCATGGGTGGCAATCAGCATCCAGCTGGACAAACTACAAGTCCCAGAATACCCTTCGTATGGTCACTTCCCCATGATGCAGCAAAACCAATGGAAAGGTGGCATCCGCTTTGAGGCAAAAACTGGGGGTCACTCTGCGACTAAGCCCATTTACGGGGGAATGGAGGCGGAGCCTGTGTGCGGTGAGAGATATAGTCGTTGTTTGGCGTCAGACGTCTCGGAATCAGAAGTGTGGCTCCATTTCTATGTTCAGAGTATGGACTTGGGGCCGACTGATGGAGAACCTCAAACAGCTTTCCACACAGAGAGCAAAGGTCCTTCTCTACAGCAAGCTGGCAGGGAAAGGCTTCTCTACTCAGGCTGTGGCTGCTTTCCAAAGGATGTTTTTGGTGTTTTTCATTATTTGATGATATAAAAGTGTAGTTACCATAATCCCGGGTCCCGTAGTCTTCTTCTGGGGTGGCTTGTGGTGACGGAGCCTCCAAAGGTGCTCTTCTTGTTGGACCACAAGTGGTCTTCTCTCTGCTGCTCATTGGCCACCTTCTCAGCCACTCCTCTTGGCCACCTTCTCAGCCACTCCTCTTGGCCACCTTCTCAGCCACTCCTCTTGGCCACCTTCTCAGCCACTCCTCTTGGCCACCTTCTCAGCCACTCCTCTTGGCCACCTTCTCAGCCACTCCTCTTGGCCACCTTCTCAGCCACTCCTCTTGGCCACCACGGCCTACATTCTGGCTGTAGAAAGAGGAGCACTGGAGGGCATTCTGCAGAGTAACAAATAATCTGTCATCTCATCCCACAGACCAGAGGTCTCCAAACCTTCTATACCGAGGACCAGTTTATTGTCCTCCAGACTTTTGGGGCTGAACTGTGACCAGCGGGAGTGCAAATTGTTCTGGCATCAGTGGAAGTAAACATTATCACAGTTGGTATTATGGGGAGGAATAGTGCCCCATCATTGGTGTCAGTGAGAGGAATAGTGCCCCATCATTGGTGTCAGTGGGGGGAATAGTGCCCCATCATTGGTGTCAGTGGGAGGAATAGTACCCCATCATTGGTGTCAGTGGGGGGAATAGTGCCCCATCATTGGTGTCAGTGGGAGGAATAGTACCCCATCATTGGTGTCAGTGGGAGGAATAGTGCCCCATCATTGGTGTCAGTGGGAGGAATAGTACCCATCATTGGTGTCAGTGGGAGGAATAGTGCCCCATCATTGGTGTCAGTGGGAGGAATAGTGCCCCATCATTGGTATCAATGGGAGGAATAGTGCCCCCATCATTGGTGTCA